GTAGCGATGCCCTTTGTTCCTAGTAGCTTCTTGTTACTACTAGTATGGCCAGGAGCTACTAGTAGCGTCTTTGCTCTTAGTAGCGATGCCCTTTGTTCCTAGTAGCCTCTTGCCAGGAGCTACTAGTAGCGTCCTTGCTCTTAGTAGCGACTCTGAGGGACCCCACGTTGGTGAAGCTCACAAGTGGCATCCTGCAACGCTTGGGCCATTGAGGCGCTCAGCACATTGTTCACATCTGGCCTGCACCACTTGATCAAGTCAATGAGCTTTCTCTATAATGTGAAGCATGTCTAAGGTATTCTTGCTCTCTATCTCTATCTTTTTTTCCATGTTGGCATGGTACTTGGCAACGCTGCCAACACATTCTTTCTGCCTTTGTGAATAATCAAGAATTACTGTGCAGTTGCCTGTTCAATGTGAGGTATGCGATACCCTCTCCGATCTCAAAGAGGAGGTCTTTGTGGTACCAGGTCTCTGACCTACGAGCTGAAAATGTAAGGAACTGTGCGAAATCTAAGGCTAGAGCAAAGCTTCGAACAAACAGTAAGAAACTCTCCTAGGATGCTTTGCAAGAACAGATTCCAAACTCAAAGTTGCAAGAACTTGCAAGATTGATTTCCCCAGATCCAGGAACTGTTTCATTTTAGGAATGGTTCTTCGGTGTCCTGGAATCCTTACCTAGCTCAATTGCTTGACCAATAGCGATGGCCTCCCCTAAGGAACTTCATCGTTGAGGATGCGACGTGCAAGTCGGTCTTATATGTGGCACTGCAAAGGTATCCCAGGAAGCTTTGTCCACGACCTTGATGGTTGGCACATACCTCACCAATGCAAAGCAGCAAAGTGAAGCGTACTTAAAGCATTTCAATTCAAGCTGTCGAACCTGGCCTGTAGCCATTCAAGTGCTCTTCCTTCAAATTGCTGCCCTCCTGGCAACCAGAACTCAACCAAAAGTAGTGCAAACTGCGGCAAGAAAAAAGGTAAACCACTGACTGGAGAAACTCTGAACATTCTCCGTCAAACCTGGTCACAGTCGATAAGTTTTCAGGGTTAGAAGGGTCCAAGTATATTCAACCAGCCATGGCTGCCATGATTCATGAGGCTTCCAATGCCCAGATCAGAAGCCATGGCTTCCATCTTTTCATGCTTTGGATGCATATGCACCCATGCAAAGAGATTCAGGTCCACCAGCAAAAAGGGCTTTGAACAAACCATAGAAAACATCTCTCTAAAACATAATGTCCAACGCTTAGTGGTGTCTTAACAACATTCTTGGATCAACACGCAGTCTTATCTTGTCACTTGAGTCTCCTTCTGCAAAAGCTCAGCTTCCTTTGCTGCCAGCTCACGCTCGATGCTGGCCCAGTCCTCGATGCGTCACATCTGACCAAGCAAGCAGAAAACAAGTGTTCATAAAAAATGGAAAAAAAACATATACTAGGTAGGCCATCGCTACTAGGTTGAAGGCCATCGCTACTAGGTTGAAGGCCATCGCTACTAGGTTGGGGGCCATCGCTACTAGGTTGGAGGCCATCGCTACTAGATTGGAGGCCATCGCTACTAGGTTGGAGGCCATCGCTAGTAAGTAGGTTGGAGCCCGTCGCTATTAGGTTGGAGGCCAGCGCTATTAGGTTGGAGCCCAGCGCTACTAGGTGAGAGGCCATCGCTACTAGATTGGAGGCCATTGCTATTGGGTTGGACACACTTATTCCACAAGTGTTTTCATGCAAAAACAGGTTCTTGTTTTGTTTGGGGCCAAGAGGAAGGCCTAAGAACGCGTTCTTGTCGAAAGTCAGACTGAGGACGTGGCGCTTTTGACCATGGAGCCTAGCTCAGTCAAAGAGCCAAGGACACCCCCAACTCAGAAGCTTGACTTGAAGCTTGGCTTGACTTGTTAGAAAGCAATGCTTGGCGTTCAAACGTCATAAGTCATGACCTTTGTTGAGAGCTTCACTTCCTTGTCATATTTCTATGTATCTGCAGTAGAGTCTCTCCTCTGCAGCAGCAGATAACCCGCACCCGGGCGCTCACTGCTAGAATGTCTTGTTTGTGCTCTTCATTCTGGTGATCGGTGATCGGTTTCTAATAGCCTCTTGTTACTACTAGTAAGGCACTTGTTACTAGTAGCGATGCACTTGTTACTAGTAGCTTCTTGTTTCTAATAGCCTCTGTTTTGTCTTGAAACCATTATGTCAAAAACATGTGTTCGGCCGACAACAAATCGCTTCCCATGTGTTTGTTCATGTCCACACTCGCACACTCTCGCTGGTGAGCCATCCGCATGAAACACGTCATTCATGTTGTGAGGGTATCTCTGCAATCAAAGCCTCGAAATTCTGCGATTGGATGCCGAAAAGTTGCAATAGACCAGACTTTCTGCAAGCAAAAAGCTGAAACAGGTGAATTATCTGGTGCAGGTGTTGCACCGGCACAGCCCACATGGCCGCATCCTGCGCGAAAGATCCAACTTCACCTCTGTAAAATCCGCATTGGAGCACCTTGCGCAAACATCCAGGCATGAACTGGACACAAAAAATACGATAAGGAGAACGCTTCCACGCTTCCATCGAGGGATTTGTTGAAATTCGGAAGCATCATCGACACGCCGTTTCTCGAGGAGATCCTTACTGTATATATATATATATTGAGTCATCGTGTTGCTTACTACAATCTTGGAGACCAAAAAAGAGTGGAACACTGGCGGAACGGTAGACAGCTCGGAATCCGCACCTCTTGTGTCGTGGTCAACATATGCAGGCTACATTGCCATTTGGCACATCTCATCAGCCTGGCTCACATCTGTCCATCTGTGCAAACATCTGTCAACTCTCTTGAACAAGAGCTTCAGCTTTGCCTGGCAAACAGAGCTTCAGCTTTTTATCCCGCGATTAGAAAGCCACAAAGCCTGACGGTAGCCCCGTGTGCCAAGTCAGACATCAATCTGCTGGCAATTCCTTGGCTCGCTCACGCACAGATGCAACAGCTAATACATAAATTAATCTGAGAATTCCAGTGTTTCATGTCTAAAATCAAGGTAACAACGATTTGCTGAGGCTCGCAAACCATTGCAGCATGCTGCCTCGTCATCCAAGAACCATTGCACCAACGACATTATGCGATTGCCCGCAGTACCACCCACGACATGTTTCATGTAGTCCAAACCACCGTGAATAAATAGCCATCCTTCCCACGTTCCTGCAGCTTCAACGGAGATTGGCCAAATGGTCAGCGCTCTTCAAGACTTGAGGTCTCCAACCTAAGAGCTACTGCCTCCAACCTGATAGTGATGGCACTGAAAATTGAATACTTCCTAGTGCCGTTGTCAAGGGTCTTTTCAACACGGCTTTGTTCAGTTTCTGAGCTGTTTGGTTTAGTTTCTGAGTTGCCTTGGATCTGCTTCTCAATCTGGTGAGCGAACCGTGTCTTGCTGATTTGGAGCGCAGAGAGAGCATATCCAATGTCTAGCAGAGTTAGTAAGATCAATCGCACTGCCCATGCACTTGGGGAAGCAAAGGATGAAGTGATGAAAAGCAGCAGCCACAAAAGCGAAGCGTGCGTCAAGTCAGAATACACCACGAAGCAAATCGCACTGTTCAGACATTCAAAGATGAAGTCAGGGGATAGATTGAAGCGGGATAGCACCTATCAAGGCATCAAAATGCATCACAACGAACCTTTATCATTCGGCTCAATCTCAACTTCCACTAGCCTTCAAGCTGTTGGCAAACCATTGCAATAGTGATGGCCTCCAACCTAATAGCGATGGCCTCCAACCTAGAAGCGATGGCCTCCAACCTAATAGCGATGGCCTCCAACCTAATATCGATGGCCTCCAACCTAATAGCAATG